ATGGATACATTTGTTAACTAATCATTGCGCATGTCAGTCCGTTTATTCTTCCGTTGTTTAATCAGCAACTTGTACTTGTTGAAACGCAAAATATAATGGAATTGGATAAACCACACACATGTTTGATGAATTGGTATTTTAAACATTGTTTAAGATACAACAAAATATATTTAATAAGCTTTCTTGGACGCTCTATGTGAATGTATAATTTTGAAACCTTAATATGTTTATTTTTATTAAAAATAAATACGTATTTTACATAAAAAGACAGTACACAAGGTAAAAACAAAAATTATTCAATTCCGTTGAAAGAAATAGAAACCCAAGCCACTTCAAGCTAACTTAAAATCCCAACAAATACAAACAAATAGCACCAACGAGAAAATATGTTCAAATGCGCATGTGCTGATAAATTTTACATGCGATGAAGCTCTGATCGTTTTGACAATCCGCCGACTCATTCATGCACAGTATATCCCCTACAGTAATGTTACTGGGATTCAAGAAATGGCTTTGAGTTACGCTGCGGCCAGACACAGGTCTCATGGCGCTAGTATCGTTTTGAATTTTGACACGTCCAACATCGGCACGTTCATTGGTTGAAGAGAATGTTTTTGACAAGCGAAGCATGAAGTGTCAGTGTTGACAAGTGATTTTTTCTTCTACGAAAGTTAATATTAATTTTGTTTCAGCGATATTTATTGTGATTTGTGTTGTTGTATTAAGTGCTTTCTTATTTAATATGGGAAACAAAACGTACAACAAACTCAGAAAAAGAGGAATCAAGGAGGGATTGCTATGGCTGTCATCCAAGGGTCTCCGCCCTAGATAATACTTTTCCAGTGGGAAAAGCCTTTAAAATTCAAGTATAACAATTTTATGTTTCCGTTTTCCCTTCTTTTAATGTAGGTGCCAATTTTGAGGTATGTTTGTAATATTTTTTCATATTTTTTCAGTTAATACCTACCCTCTTAATATTATAATTTAACTAAGATCTTATGCTTTCCTATGGACACGATTCAAGGAGGGAGTCCTATGGCTGTCATCCAAGCCCTAGATAATAGTTTTCCAGTGGCAACAGCCTTTAAAATTCAAGTATAATAATTTACTGTTTTAGTGTTTCTCCTTTTTTTTGAAGTAGCTGTCCATTTAAACTAAAAATTTTTATTTCACTTATTGATTTTAGCATTTATATACAATATCGGCTAATGAACAGTTTCCAATACGCTTGGCTAGCATCGAAAAAAAAACTAAAGAGTTAGTGCATTAGTTCTATCAGGAAACGAATAATATGAATGTTGCCTTGTGTGCTGTTTAATATGAACAGGCACACGGTGTGATGCATCCCCACGTAGCCGGCTGGCTACGTTCATAGTATTCTATTCCTTCTCCCACTAATGCTAACTCTTTGTAGTTTTTACTTGGACATTAGCAAAACTTATTGTACAACATTCGATAGCTGTCACTGTATTATCACAAACATCTCTTAATAACTAAATGATTTCATTTAAGTTTCTTTTTTTTTTTCAGTAAAATGGATATGGCTAGAGTTATCATCGACTTTAAAATAAATTAAACAAGTTTAATAATTTTTCAAATAAAATACTTCATACAATTTTTTGTTTTTTTTTTACCAGAGCCAATTTTTTTTCAGATCTAACCTCTATAGGTAAAAAATAAGTGATTCAGGTAAAATTGAAAAGTATATTACATGTTCTTTTAAATGTGTTGTTAATCCAAATGCTGCTTTTATTGTAATAGCTAACAATAAAAAAATTAGTATTATTTTTAGCTATCAAAATAAAAGCGCCTGGATTTACAGCTCGTTTAATCGAACATGCAATATACTTCTTAATTATTGCCGAATAAATAAATTTTAAAATTCCCGCCATTCCGCAGCTGAAAATTTACGATTTTGGCGGGAAATTTAAATTTCGCCTTAAAATTATATTTGAATTTACCGCCATATCGAGTTAGTTGAGCGGCCAGATGCATACGCATTTTTGCGCTGCAAACTTAGTGCCAACTCTTTAACAAGTGAGATGCACTACTATAGGGGATATATTGTGCATTCATGTACAAATCCTCCGAGCAATTAGCCCAAGAGGGAGTCTTCCCCCTATCCCCGCGCTAAAGGACCCCGCAATAATCTTATGGAAATTGGGTTTGTGTCAAATTGTCTGAATTTTTGATATGTTGTAGATTTTGTCATCCTGAACAAAAGTCTCCATGGGCACAAAGTGCCAAAATTAATATTTTGAGTTATGCAGATCATTATGATCTAAAAAAATGTTTGTCTGGTGCTATAGTCAGGTATAAAAACATTCATTTATTTAAATACAGTTGCAGTATACATTTTATTTAGTTTTTAAGTTAAAACCTATTAGGACATCCTAAAATGACTTTTTTCGTTTGATGTGAGATTAATTATTCTACATTTTTGTTGGTGAAATAGGATATATTAGGATGTCTTACTGTTTTCTCTGATTATCTAAAAAGTTAGAACAATATACAAAGACTGTTATAACAAAAAAGAGATATACCTTTACTTAAACACACAATTAGTCAGTTCAATTGTACGATAATTTAAAGCAGAAATCCAGAAAACTTTAAAAATGAGTTTAAATGTGTTTTTACTATAACAATGACATAATTATTAAAAATACTTGTAAAGTATAATGATAACATTAAAAGTTGAGTTTCTCGAAATACTTTTTTTAAATTGTCTCCAGTAACTACCTAGTATTTTTCTAGCACAATGATATTATATGAATGTGCATTGTGTGATATCTTATATTTTAGGAATAAAATGATATATTTTGAAAATATTATTAAAACGGCCTTTGCAAATATAATTCTCAATAAAGAGCTTTTGATCTAACATTAAATTTTTATTCTCCATAAGGTTACAGCTTCCTAAGAAGAAAGTTTAACAAGACTTACCAGACCCAAAATTTCTAAATTTTACCAACCAATTGATGATTCTACTGGTTTCCATAGGCAAATTCTCCTCGAAACTACTAAAAGAAAAGTGACAGAGGCAACCGAAGAAGGCAAAAAAGCCTCTTGAAAAACAAAAACTAGAAATTTGTTTAAGAATATAATTATTGTTTGAAGTTTTACCATTAATAATTTTTGATAATGATTTAAGATTATGAAGTTCTGTTATGTATTTTACTCTTTGATAACCTATGTTTAAATTTTTATTAGTACCAAAATAAATTATAATTTTCATTTCAACTACAAAACCCTCATAATATTAAAAGGGGGAAAAACGTTAGATTAATTATGTTCAGGAATAAACTCTTTAAACATTTATCTACTTAAAATGTGTTAATTTTAGAAGGTATATTATTAACTTTCTATTTGTACTTGTGTTAATTTATTTCATTTTATTATCTGTTGTATTTTCAAATTGATTTTGATATTAATCTTATCACATATGTTTTTTTCATTGAAATAAACGTTTATCGGGTCGGGTCGATGGTGTTAGCGGTCTAACGCGCTTATATTCATTTATAGGCAAGTTTATGAGTCCCAAACTGCTGGGCTTCGAATCCCAGACCAGACCATGTGGATTTTTAATTAAATTGCATGGTTCGGTTTAGGATTTGATGTGTGTCGTATTAATAGAAAATTCAATTTCTATTGATATGACATTCAGATTATAAAATCGCTATACATTATCGTCTCGATGATGGTGGGTGAGGTTTTCCGGGTTTTCCTCACTGTAAGTCAAATGGCACCATCAATCATCCTTAAATCGCCCCGGAGCGCCACGGCAAATAATAATAATAATAATAATAATAATAATAATAATAGCCGTCCCTTTCCCTACACAAGTCGTTCAGTCGACTTCAGGGGTTGAAATTCACTCGTAAGGGGGTGAATTAGGGAGAGTATTATTATTATTTATTAGCTTATTAAATATAATGAATTCATGTTGTTTTATTATATGCTTGTATGAATGATTACTTTTATTTCCTTTTAAAAATGAATTTTGAAGATAAAGCCGAAACGGTGAATGAGAATAAAAAATTAGACGAAAGTGACGATATTTACTGGAGCTTTCATCTACACGCTCCTTTTTCTAGCCATCTACACCTGAGCCAGCAAGATTTGTCTTCCCTCCATCCTTACATTCTACAGATTTACAGAGAAAACGCCGTCTTCTTTAACATATTCAGACCTTCTTTGACGGGGACTATACCACTACATAATTAGCTTTATTTGTTATCCCGAGCAATTTAAATGCATTCGTAATTGCTCATTCTCACCTCTTCTCTTGTAGATTCCGTACTCAGTTTTCTTATTTTTAGTTACGTTTGCACTGCTCTTTTATTTTCACAGCTTTAATTCTATAAAGCTGTAACGCTACAATATGGATCCATTTTTGTGGTTTATACTATTCCTGTAAGGCCGAAACTAGTCGCTCCTGTATTTATTTATAATAAAATTAATTTTAAGGTTTTATTCTTCAATTGGAAAAATTAGACCTTTACAGTGATTTTGTTTCATTTCCTGCATTAGACACATATAAGACGGTATTCATTTTAAAAATAGTAAAATTAGCAAATTTTTTAGTTTTTTTTACAATTAAAACGTTTGGACAATGTGTGTTTTTATAGATAAATGATACGCCACTGAACAAGAAAAATACGTTTTGGAACGTTTTATTGACAGTTCATCGGATTATCCGTGGCTTTGTACGAACGGACTATTTTCAATGCATGCGTCTGAAGTCCTTCTGATGATCAGATTCTCTGTTGGAACAAACCTTATATTTATCAATAATACCTACGTGTTTCATGTTTAGAAACCTTAATAGCTAAAGTAACTTATTTTTTAACATATTTTACTCAAGCTATGTATAAATTCTTGTTTCTTTTTCTCACATTATTAATTTGGTTACTTTTTCTTCCTTAAGGCTACTTTTAACTATTTTGTTTAATGTAGTTGGAGACGTCTCAGTTTGTTATACCATTCTTAAATTTTTTCAGGTATCCGGCAATCTTCGAAAAGAATCAAAAGCTAATAAACCAGTTGCTTTTCCATATCCATCATCGTCTAGCTTATCTCATGAGATTCGTTTTGATGACGGTTCTCAAGCCGAACTCACATGCGTTGTCACAATTCCAGATGTCTATAGGAGAGAGAAGTCGGTTACGATAGAAAAAGATTCTTCTAATGTTGTAACGCCTATAAGTGATTACTACAACGTTCACCCCACCTTTATCTCCAGTGGTAAAATATTCTTTTATTTTATTGATATTTATCAAAAATCTTAGTCAAAAATTTTCAAAACGAATGAGATTAAAATATACAAAAAAGTAACGAGTGACGCAGTTTCAAAGGGTTGTCGAGTAAACCACCTAAACAAAACTGGCGCCCGAGTATTTTTCTTGTTTAAGGCATCACTAGTAAAAATAGTTGTCTCTGTAGCGAGAAAATATCTTACTTTTTTTATAAATAGAAAAAAACTTAATACTTAAAAACAGACCCTAAAACTGCGATTTACTAGTAAGTGCAGACCACACGTTTTACAGATGGGTCGAACCTTCCTATAGGCTGTTTTCAAAACTAAAACCGAAATAGCCTATACAGTATTACTGTCTCATATTTGAGACGGTAGTCTCTCAGAAAAATTATTGTGACTCATATATGAGACGCTCGGTAGCGAAGTTGTTAGTAATAACTCCAATTTTTGCATAGTTTTTAATATTGATTTCGTTAACTTCAATTTGTGTCGGTTTTTGATTTAAACAAAAGTTAATCTTTTAACTTAGAAATTAATAATAGTAATTACCTTTTTTTTTGTTATACGAGTATAATTTTTATATTTTTATTTTAGGGGGCTATTCTTGGACAAAAGCAAGTGTATCAATATTTATTATATCATTACACTTAATGTTAATGAACTGGTAAACAGAGAACTGTCCAACATTACTAAAATAAAAAGTATAATATTTTTTTTTTGTTTTTATAATAATTTAAAGGGTCCTTTAAAGGAGTATTTAAAGGATACTTTTATCGATACACCAATAATGATTAGGTTTATAATAGAAGTCCTGATATTTCATGGATATCAATCTGCTGATATTTATTTATCGTTTTATTTACACGATGGTAATTTCAGGTTTTGTTTCAGGTTCCACAAGTTGCTGGGCAATGGGAAACCATTGTTTATAGCTAATGTTTCATATTTATTATTACTTAACTTGTAAAAAAAATATTTTCCAATAATTTTTCATTAAAATACTTTTACAAAAAAATCAGCTTGTTTAGATTTCAGTATGTTTAACGAAAAATTGATTCCAAATTTTTTTACACATCAAAATCCAATTTTAATTAAATAGTCCAGTAACTGAAGACCTAAAAATATGCAAAGCTGTCATTAAGTCGGTCCAGATTTCCTTTGTGGCTCAATTCTTAGGTCTTGACGGTTGCTTTCAAGGGCGAAAACTTTTACCAATACTGCTGGGTCGGAAAGGGCTCAAAATGACCCCTAAAGTCTGAAAAAATGGTTTACCGCTAATATCTGCCAAAATATACAAATTAGACAATTTTTGTTTAAATAAAAAATGAAGATCGTATCATTATCTACAAAAATGGTCCCTACCATTTTTTTCGCAAGACGAATATTTTTTGCAAAAACGGCCTTCGAAAAAGTCCGAATTTTTGCACCGAATATAAATGTTAGTTTCTCACTGAATTTCCACTCGAGGGAGTTGGGAATACATTGATTTTCATGTTTTGGACTTTAGAGACCAATTGTAGATGGCGCCAGAGGCATACCTCTGCTCACTAAATTATAGGGCCTATGAATGGAAATCCGGGCACCAATCGATCTTTCGACAATTATTGGCGGATTCTACGGGATTTTTTCTTTAAAGTAGCGCTTGGGATATCTTATCTATATTGCCAAATGTTCTGAGTAATTTACTTTGCAAAATTTAATAGAAAAGTGCAAAAAAAATTTTTTTTATGTGGCATTCTCAAATCCCGGCGCTTTGCCTAATAGTGGGTTACTAGTTTTAGAGTGTGATGAATATTGACCCGAGAAGACCCTTTATATTTTCTGCGTCTTTTGCAAAATTTTCGCCAACTTCTATCAGAACAATACAGGTCCAGGATTTCAGAAAAATACTTTTATTATGAAAAACATGATGAAAATACGAAATACATAGCAATGCTTATAATTTATCATACGTTAAACCATTCAATGTCATCAGAATCATACTCTTCATCGTCTTGCTCTTGCTATATTCCTTCCCCTCCTCCACGCGTCACTTCCCCCTCTTTTTCCATCCCCTGTGTTGCTGTCTCGACAGCTATTTTATCCTCCTCCCCTTCAACTCCTTCTGGGTCTCGATCCATCTCTAATTCTTCCGGGAAAATGCCTTCATTTTTGTTATAATTAAAACACTGTGTCGACTGACACTTACCACAGACCGGCTTTCAAACATGAACAATTCTTCTCGCAGCCTGTCTTGCACTGACAAAAAATCATCTTTAAGAGTTTCGGGGGGGCCGGATCCCTTTTACACTTAATTTAATTAATTTTTCCGGTGATTTACACTCACTTTGTGAAGCAAATCTTCTAGAAGTGCCGCTAAAAGCTCTGTATCTAAAGGGCTTTCTATTTTATGTTTGTTTTAACCTAAAAAAAAAAAGAATAACATTAGTAGAAATAATTATATGATAGATATAGCAACAAAAGACTTACCTTAACCCCAAATTTTCGATATATATTCCACTTCAACTCATTTGTGTTAAATATAGAAAAGAAAGTAATCATTGTTTATTATTGTACTACTCGACCCCAGAATCGTGAATTTTCTTTAAATATACGAAAGAAATATATAACAACCGACAATAACGACTCCAAAAACAACAGAGATTGTATACCAATAAAAGCAGACGATTAAGGTGAGCGCGTGGCGCGTGGGTACACGTGGTTAGGTTATGATGGAATATCATGGATCTCAGGTGGTAAAAATGGGGGAGATAATTCTAACAAACAGTTAAGAACCACGCTCACATACGGGGATCAATTGACAGAAATGAAAAGGTGAGAATATCAGCTTCACTTCGTTCTGGGTATTAAAAATGAACAGCGGGGAACAAGAAGTATTTAAAAAAAAAGTCCGGTTTTCCCGGTGTGATCAATTTTCCCGATTTCTGGAAAATGGGGCAACTTTATTAAAAAAAAAATACATTCGAAAAGTAGACACTCTAAGCTTTAAAATGGTGTGCATTAAATAACAATATAATGAAATATGAGTTTTTAATTACTGCTTGTTTCAAAGATTTCTAGAACTCCGAAAACGTATGAAAAATGCGAACAAATTAATTTTGTTTTAAAACGCCAGGAAGATACTGAAAAAAAATTTCTGAGATCATTAGTAACATCTCAAGATCCCATTTAAAATAAAAATGGGATAAAAAACTATTAAAATAAAAAAAATGTGAATGAATTACTCTAAAGTGGTCCAAAATGTGGGAAAACGCAACTTTGACCCCTTCTTAAAAGTTCTTGACAGGAAATAACGGGTTTCAAGGCACATGGATCGATATCTATAGGTTTTCCCATTGTAATGAACTTTGAATCATCGAAAAATATCAATTTTTGGCCGAGTTCTGAAACAATTTGTCCACCCGTTTACAAGCTAATCAGCATTGCTATAGAGATAAAGCAGGGGCTGAACGAGGAGACTTTTGATTGCGGTTATCTCGAAACCTGTCGAATTCCCGACAAAAATGATAGGAACCATTTTTATAGATAATGACAAGATCTTTCTTTTTTATCTAAACAAAAATTCTCTAATTTGCATATTGTGGAAGATATTGGCGGGAAACCAGTTTTAGGGTCCATTTTGGGCTCTTTCCGATGCAGCAGAGTTGGTAAAAGTTTTCGACCTTGGAAGCGACTGCCGAGACCTAAGAGTGAGCCACAACGGAAATCTGGACCGACTTAATGACAGGTTGGTCCCTTCAGTTACTGGACTAAAATTAACCTGTAGTTGTTTGAGAATAATAAAAGAGGTTTAGTTGTTTTAAAAAGATGGGCTAAGTAGTCGTGTATTGTTTTAATTATTTTGTGCTGATTTTCACTGAAAAAAAAGGATCAAAACAATAATATTACTACACTAATATGCAAAAAACGCAACTAATAAATTTGGGTCTAATTGAATCAATCAATCAATTTTAATTTTAATTTTCAGTATTTTCATAAAAATTAATATTTGATTTAATATACAGGGTTAATCGAAGGGCTGTTTTTTATCCTAATTTTGAAACACCCTGTGGGACAATGTTGGTAGCGATTTTTTAAAACCATGTTTTCTCTACATTTGGGTTTTTAGTTCATGTCAATACGTGCCTTGCAATTTTTTTTTATTTTTTCATTGGGTTTGGGTTCCAATGGTAATTTTCTAATTTCACGAGGTGGCTTTGATGATTGTCGTACTAATGTCATATTTATATTTACAAATTTTAAAGATAGAAGTTACGATATGGTGTTGATTTCAATAAACAATTTATTAAACAATATTACCAATAAAAGAACTGGGGACATTAAAAAAAAGTATTTCCCCCTCGGGCTGCTATAACTACCGAAGACGTAGGTTCATAATATCAATTAGGCTACAAATATCATCATTTATTGTTGCTGATGCCACTTTGCGACATCTAACCCGCCTGCCAAAAGCATATCCCAAACGTGTTCTATTGGGTTAAGATATGGCGAACATGCCGGCGAGTTCAATTTGTTAATTTCAACTTCTTCTAGGTATTGCGTGACAACATTGCAGAATGTGGCTGTGCATTATCCTGCATTAGTACAAAACTATCACCAATATGATGAGAAAAATGTACACCGTGATTCGCTAATATCTCTTCAATATCTCGGTGCGCAGTCAGTGAACCATCAACAAAAAATAATTTAGGACATCTCAGGATACTGCTGCCCACACTATCGCTGACCCTCCTGCATGACTAAGGCGGAGCTAAAAACGCACCCCGCAAACCTCTCTCCAGTTCGTCTCCATACTCGTCCTCTCCCATTTGGTGAGTTTAAACAGTATCTCGACTCATCTGTAAAAAAGAACATTTCTCCATTGCCTCAAACCCCAATGTAAATGGTCCCTGGCAAAATACAGTCCAGCCACTCGGTGACGTGAAATTAATTTGGGTCCAGTTGCCGGTATGCAACTTTTTAAACCAACTTCCTGTAATCTTCCACAAACTGTTAACCCACAGTCTTATCTCAAACCTCTTGAAACCGATTTCTTGTTTAAACCGCTGTTAAGTGACGGCCCCGTAAAGCATTAAGCCTGATATATCGATTGTCAACAGCGAAGGTTTCGTGCTTTCTACCACTTCCTGCTTTACGCTGATCTATGCCACTTTGTCTAAAATGTTCGACTATCCTTTTGACGGTAGAGCGATGAGTATACAGTACTGTAGCCCACATTATCAAAATTTCCCCCATCTTAAACGAGAGCAACGGTTTTTGCACAATGTTCAGTACAATGACATATAGATTAATAGACTGCTCATCCATATATAAACAAGACGACGAAAAGCGGGTCATATTGCTTGGCTTGCCGAGTGCTCACCAGGCAGAATCGGTCTGGCCCAAATGAGTTTAAAACATATTTCATCAAAGTAGGAATTGAATTAAAAAAAAAAAATTATCTGTATGTTTATTTTAAGACAGGAGCTTGCGTTAGGTATTTTAAAAAAGGATTTTGAGTCCTAACGTCTAGTTTCGCAATTTTCAAAACATTTTAAGAGATCTAACCACATAGATATAAACAATTTTACACTCATGTGTATATAACTAACTTTAGACTACGACCACTGTATAGTGGCACTATTCGGACACTTGATTATTCTTTTAAAATTTATTTCGTATTATAAAAGCAGATATTATGCAAAAATTGAATGAACTATTTAAAGATTTTACTAAAAGTTAGTAGCTTTTTCACATTCTAAAGTTTGTTCCCTTTAGACAATTAAGGATTATTTTGGCGGTGAATGTGAATGATTTGATGAATAATAATAATAAGATTCCATCAGTGGAAATCTGATCAACATCATAGTAAAATAAACTAGGTACAAAGTGCAATCTTAGTTGACGTCAAGATTCGTGTACCTTAGCATCGGTAAGGGGGAAAGAAAGATTCTGACTTACAATCACAAAAAGAACGTACAACTAAGCTTAGTCGATGTAAGTTAGTTCAGATTAGTGGTAAAAAGCAAGCGACTATTAATGAAAAGAAAAGTAATCCAGCTAAAACAAGAATTATGGCTACTGTCTTTAATAATGATATGTTGCCAGTACTAGTAGAATGTTAAGTGTTGAGTTATCTTCTTCAGGCAATGGATGTACGTATGCATAATTTAAAATGTTTGGTTAATTATTATTGTTTTTTTTTTTTGTCATCAGCTTCAACTGCTAAGGTTATTTCGCCTCGTGTTCTGTGTAGGCTTTGTTACTGTTTCCCAGCGCCACTTTAGGAACAGCACTGTTAATTAGAACCCAACAGTGAATGGTCGAGTGGGGAATCCTATCAAGGCATCAGAATTAATTTTAATTAATTAAATTAATTTAAAAAATCCCGGCCAACGGTGGGATTCGAACCTGGGACCCTTGGATCCACAGGCAGAGACTCTACCACTGAGCCACCCACCCCCTTATAATTATTATGTTTAATGTGTTTTTTTAATGTTTTTGTGCAGTTAATGAACATATATCTACTACTGAAGCAGATAATGAAGATTTGTGTGCTGCTGAAGAGCTTTGCTTAATTTACAAAACTTTGTTTAAAAGCAGAAAATTGGGATCGATTGTTCAACACAAGTGACGAGTGGTGATTTAGTTGATCCGTTTTCAAACA